GCCCCGACGGTGCCCCGGGATGTCATCTCCATGTCCAACTCTTCCTCCCACATCGTGGTGCGTTGGAAGCCGCCCACGCAGCGTAACGGCAACATCATCTACTACCTGGTGCTGTGGCAGCAGCTGGCTGAGGACATGGAGCTCTACATCAACGACTACTGCCACAAAGGTGAGGCCAGGCAGGGCAGGGGCAGCCCAGCAGCCGAGGACACCGGCAGCACGAGGGTGGTGCCGCTGAGCCAGGCTCTGCCAGCCCTGCCCGTTGCTGCCCACAGGCCTGAAGCTGCCCACCAGCAGTGCAGACACGCGTTTCGGGTTTGGGGATGGTCCCGAGGGGGAGCAGGATGCGGAGGAGAGGTGCTGCCCCTGCCGCCCCACTGACGGGCAGCTCCGCATGGAGGGCGAGGCCGAGTCCTTCCAGAAGAAGTTTGAGAACTTCCTCCACAATTCCATCACCATCCCCAGGTGCCATCTGGGGGGGTTCCCTGCTTTGGGGGGCTCCCTCAAGCTGGGTGCGTGGGTCTGCCTGGGTGGGGGGGTCCCATGGCTGCTCCTGGCAGACCCTTTAACTGATTTCCCGCTGTCTCAGGCCACCCTGGAAGGTGACATCCATCAATAAGAACCCACAGAGGTGAGCTGGGACCAGCCTGGGGGAATCTCCCCTCCCCTGACCAGTTTTGGGGGACAACATCAGGGCTTCAACTCCCCACCACATCCTGTCCCCATGTCCTGCAGGACCCCAAAGCAGCGCAGGGACGTGGTGGCCGTCACACCTGCAGCCAACACCTCCTCAGCAGAGCCGCTGGCCCCGAGCCGGCCCGGAGGCGAGCCCAAGCCTGACTTCCAGATCTTCGAGGACAAGGTGGTGCGTGACCGGGCGGTGCTGTCGCGGCTGCGCCACTTCACCGAGTACCGCATCGACATCCACGCCTGCAACCACGCCGCGCACACCGTGGGCTGCAGCGCCGCCACCTTCGTCTTCGCCAGGACCATGCCCGAGCGTGTGTGCCCAGCCCTTCCAAACCCCACCCTGGCCATGCTGTTGAGATGGGGGCTGGGGTCCAGGGGGTGCCCCCAGGAGCTGACTCCCTTTGTGCCCCTCTCCAGTGCAAGCTGACAACATTCCTGGCAACGTGACGTGGGAGCCGGCTGGCAAGAACAGTGTCCTGCTGCGCTGGGAGGAGCCCAGGAACCCCAACGGGCTCATCCTCAAGTATGAGATTAAGTACAGCCGGGAGACTGAGGTGAGAACCTCCTGTGGCATCCCCTGCCCAGCCCTGCCAGGTCTGGTTATAGGGGCACAGCACCCATGCCATCCTCATCTCCATCCCTATCCCAATCTCCATCCACATCCATGTCCCTGTCTCCATCTCCATCTCCATCCCCATCCCAATCCCTGTCCCCATCTCCATCTCCATCTCATCCCATCCCATCATCCTCATCTCCATCCCCATCTCCATCTCCATCTCCACCCACGTCCCCATCTCCATCTCCGTCCCTGTCCCCATCTCCATCTCCATCTCCATCTCCATCTCCATCCCGTCCCCTCCCCTCCCTTCCCATCCCATCCCATCCCATCCCATCCCATCCCATCCCATCCCATCCCATCCCATCCCATCCCTCTCCCAAGCCTTACACATGGCTGGGGGGGGACGAATCCCCTTTGCCACCCCCACATTGTCCCCTCCAGGAGGTCACCACTGTTGTCTGCGTCTCACGCCACCGCTACTCCAAGTACGGGGGTGTCCACCTGGCTCTGCTCCAGCCAGGGAATTACTCAGCCAAGGTCCGGGCCACCTCGCTGGCTGGCAACGGCTCCTGGACAGGGCTGGTCAAGTTTTACATCCTGGGGCCAGGTACCTGCAGGGAACAGGGGGACATCAGCAGGGACCTTTCTGGGCAGGGAGGGGGCAGCTGTGGGGTCAGGGAGCTGGGGCTCACTGGGGAGTTGGGCTGTGCTGCTGGGATGGACGTGTGGGGTCAGGGGACGCTGCTGGAGGTGGGAATTGTTTCTGGGCTGGGAAGTTGAGGGGTTGAGGGATGATCCTGGCTGAGACACTGGAGCATCACAGAGTCACAGAATCGTTTGGGTTGGAAAAGGCTCCAAGATCAGTGAGTCCAAATGTTCCCTCAGCAGTGCCCAGGCTGTCTCTAACTGCTGTCCCCAAGTGCCACATCCACACCTCTGTTAAATCCCCCAGGGACAGAGACTTCACCAGTGCCCTGGGCAGCCTGCTCCAATGCTTCCCAATTTCCCCCAATATCCAATCTAAACCTCCCCTGGCACAACCTGAGGCCACTTCCTCTGCTCCTGTCGCTGTTCCCTGCGAGCAGAGCCTGACCCTCCTGGCTGTCCCCTCCTGTCAGGAGTTGTGCAGAGCCACAAGGTCCCCCCGAGCCTCCTCCTCTCCAGGTTGAGCCAGCCCTCCATCCCCTCAGGTGCTCCTGGTGCTCCAGACCCCTCCCCAGTTCTGATCCCTTCTCTGGTCACATTCCAGCCCCCCTTCTCTTGTCATGTGGGGTCCAAAACTGACCCTAGGATTTGAGGTCCCTCAGCAGTGCCCAGCACTCACTTTCTTCTCAGCTCTCCCTTGGGTACTAACAGACTTATAGAAACATTTTTTATTGTCTCTTATGGCAGATTCAGTCCTAGCTGGGTTTTGGCCCTTCTAATTTTCATTCTTGTCCTGAGCTCCCTCAGATCCTCCTGAACTTTCCGCCCCCTCTTCCAAAGATCAGAGCCTCTCCTTTCTCCCTGAATTCCAGTCAAAAACCTCTGCTCAGCCAGGCTGGTCCTCTTCCCATCCTTCATCCAAGGATGCTGCTGGATTGAGGGCTTGGGAGACTGGGGAGATGGACACTGGGACAAAAAGGTTGAGGGCACACAGGGATCAGAGGGTGCTGCTTTCCTGGGGAGCTGCAGGCTCCCCCTTTCCAGCCTGCTGGTGGGACAGGTGCCCCCTGTGATCTGGGATGAGTGCCCAGACCCTGATCCATGGGCACCTGCTCCCGGCAGCCGAGGAAGAGTCCAGCAGCTTCTATGTGCTGCTCACCGTCACGCCCGTGGTGCTCATGGTGCTCATCTCCTGCCTGGCCGTCTTTGTCTTCTTCTACAACAAGAAGAGGTAATGACGCCCCTGGGGCTGGGCTGGGCTGGGGTCTGGCCAAACCAGGCCTGGGCAGGGCTGGGGAGAGGCAGCAGCTCCGAGCCCTGCCCACCCCTGGCAGGAACCACGATGGGTACCCCAGCGGGACCCTCTACGCCTCCGTCAACCCCGAGTACTTCAGCGCCTCGGACAGTACGTGGGGACATGGGGACAGGCAGGGGCCACCCCAAAGGGCCACTGAGCCCTTTCTGTGCTGGGGTCATGCTGGAGGGGATGGGGATAGGATGGGGTGAGAATGGGATGGGATGGAGATGAATATGGGGGTGGGGATGGAGTGGAGATGATGGGAATGGAGATGGGAATGGGAATGGGAATGGGATGGGGATGGGGAGGAGGATTGTGATGGAACGGAGATGATGGGATGGAGATGGGAATGGGAATGGGAATGGGAATGGGAATGGGGACAGGGAGGAGGATGGTGATGGGATGGAGATGATGGGATGGAGATGGGAATGGCAATGAGAATGGGAATGGGATGGGGATGGTGACAGGGAGAAGGATGGTGATGGGATGGAGATGGGAATGAGAATGGGATGAAGATCAAGATGGGAATGGGAAAGGGAATGGGAATGGGAATGGGAATGGGATGGGGACAGGGAGGAGGGTGGTGATGTAATGGAGATGATGGGATGGAGATGAAGTTGAACGGGAATGGGAATGGGAATGGCAGGGAGATGGGGACAGGGAGGAGGATGGTGATGTAATGGAGATGATGGGATGGTGATGATCTGGAGATGAGAATGAGAAAGGGATGGAGGTGAGGGTGAGGATGACGATGGAGATGAGGATGGGAATGGGGATAGGGACGAGGATGGTGATGGCATGGAGATGAGGATAGGGATCCAGATGGGGTTAGTCACAGTGATGGGGACGGGGCGATCCCCACTGACCCCACAGTGTACATGCCTGATGAGTGGGAGGTGTCCCGGGAGAAGATCACGGTGATCCGGGAGCTGGGACAGGGCTCCTTTGGGATGGTGTATGAGGGGGTGGCGCTGGGGCTGGTCACGGAGGGAGAGGAGACCAAGGTGGCCCTGAAGACAGTCAACGAGCTGGCCACCATGCGGGAGCGCATCGAGTTCCTCAACGAGGCCTCCGTCATGAAAGCCTTCAAGTGCCACCACGTGGTAGGTGGGCAGCTGAGGGGGAGGGAGGGGACATGGGGGGGTCTGGCCACTGACATGCCAGCCCTCTCTGTCCCTGCAGGTCCGTCTGCTCGGCGTGGTATCCCAGGGCCAGCCAGCTTTGGTCATCATGGAGCTGATGACACGTGGTGACCTGAAGAGCTACCTGCGCTCGCTCAGGCCTGAAGCCGAGGTGAGGAGCTGGTTGGATACCAGGACAATGACGAAGGGACACTCACCCTGTGTCCAGGGGGGTCCTGGCGTGCCCCTGCTCCATCCCTGAGTGTGTGCACGGTGCAGAACAACCCCGGGCTGCCTCCACCGTCGCTGAAGGACATGATCCAGATGGCGGGGGAGATCGCCGATGGCATGGCCTACCTCAGCGCCAACAAGTTCGTGCACCGGGACCTGGCTGCCCGCAACTGCATGGTGTCCGAGGACTTCACCGTCAAGATTGGAGGTGGGCATTGGAAATGTACAGAAAATTCTCAAGACCTGGCAAAACTCTGTCCAGTTCTGGGCCCCTCAGTTTGGGAAGGATGTTGGGATGTTTGAGTGTGTCCTGAGGAGGCAACAAGGCTGGAGAGGGGCTGGGAACACAAACCCTGTGAGGAACAACTGAGGGAGCTGGGGGTGCTGAGCCTGGAGAAAAGGAGACTCAGGAGTGACCTTATCACTCTCTACAACTCCCTGAAAGGTGGTTGTGGTCAAGAGGGGTTGGTGTCTTTCTCCAAGAACTGACAGAACCAGAGGACACAGCCTTAAGCTTCACCAAGGGTTGGATATTAGGAAAAAATTTTTTACAGAAAGAGTGGTAAAGTTCTGGAATGGCCTGCCTGGAGAGGTGGTGGAGTCCCCATCCCTGGATGTGTTTAAAAAAGGCCTGGATGTGGCACTGGGTGCCATGGTCTGGTTGAGGGGTTGGGGTTGGGTTGGACTCGATGATCTTGAAGGTCTCTTCCAACCCAATGATTCTGTGAATTCTGTGAGAAGACTCACATCATGTGTATCTGTATACAAATCTTGAGATAAGATAAAATACTAACTTAGAAATACCAAGGAATAAGACAGATATTGTTGAGAGAAAAATTGAACTTGAAACAAATCTCAAAAGATGGCCTTACAAAAAAGACTAGATACTTTAGAGAAATAGAATTATGAAAGATGCATTGTAGCAGGACCCACAAAGAGTAATTTTAGATGATTAGCTGCAAGGCATTTACAGCATGGTGTACCTAAAGCTGATAGGCCAAAAAACACTTAGAGTGTATTGTAATTAAGAAAATCATTAGCTTCTGATTGTGATGGCATGAATTATAACATCTGTATTGTCTCACCCTTCGCATGAGACTGAAAATAGAATCAAAGTTTTTCAAACACCTCTCAGTTGCCCCAAATCTGGGTCAGAAAAGGGCAACGGTGGGTGGGCAGTGGCGGTGCCAGCCTTGTCTCCTGCTGCCCACACCTTCCTCCTCCTCTTCCTCCTCTGCCAGATTTCGGCATGACCCGGGATATCTATGAGACGGATTATTACCGGAAGGGGGGCAAGGGGCTGCTCCCCGTGCGCTGGATGTCCCCCGAGGCGCTCAAGGACGGCATCTTCAACACCCAGTCTGACGTTTGGTGGGTGCTGGGGTGGGCAGAGCCGGGGCATTTGGGGATCCCCCAGGCTGAGCAGAGGTGCTCTGGCAGGTCCTTCGGGGTGGTGCTGTGGGAGATCGCCACGCTGGCCGAGCAGCCCTACCAGGGAATGTCCAATGAGCAGGTGCTGCGCTTTGTCATGGACAACGGCGTCCTGGAGCGGCCTGAGAACTGCCCCGACGAGCTGTGAGTGCTGGGGACACCCCCCCACAGCCCCACCCTGCTCTGGGGTGGAAATCCTGCTCTCTGCGGTGCTGGGGGGGCTGCTGGGAGCCCCCCAAAGCCAGCGGGTGCCCTCTCTCCGCAGCCACGAGCTGATGTGCCTGTGCTGGCAGCAGAACCCTCGCCAGCGCCCCTCCTTCGTCCAGCTCCTGGAGCGCATCAAGGACCACATGGCGCCTGCTTTCCGCACCCTCTCCTTCTTCTACAGCCCCGAGAACGGCCATCACGGCTCGGGAGAGCCCTCCAGCACCGAGACAGACCCGTGCCCCGAGGAGGATGAGCCCCCCGCATCCCCCCTGCCCGCACGCAGGGACCACAGCCCAGGGCAGCTCCCCAACGGGACAGCCTCGCTCTGACCCCGGGGTGCCCTCGGACCCCGCTGGACTCTGCACCCCGAGCCCTTCTCCAGCCACCCCCCACTTGCTGGGACCCCCCCCTGCATTATTTATTGCTTCCAAGGGCCCAGCCGAGGCGCGGGTGCCTTGGGAGGAGGGTGGCAGCAAGGCAAGGATGTTCCATGGGATTCATTTCCCCCTGAAAATAAATTGGGGGTGCTCCGAGTCAGGGGGAGGGAGTGGGGGGCTGCTGGTTGGGAGGAGAACACCCATTTTTCCTTTTTTTTTGGGGGGGGGGGGTGGGATAATGTGGGTATGGGAATGGGTTAGCAGGGTTTGACATTTGGGGTCCCCCATGGATCTGCCCTGGTCGTCGCTCCCCAGGTCAGCAACCCCTGCGATCCCCACACCTTTCCCAGGTGGGGAAACTGAGTCACGGGACTCAGACAAGCCTGGGGTTGCCCTGATGTCTCTTCCCAGAGGCCGTGCTGGTCCACGGAAGGGGCATCACTGCCTAATGTGAGCTCGAATAAAGGGGATGAAGCTCAGCTGCGGCAGTGCCTGGCTTGGGGGGGGTCGCGGGGGGGGCGGCACAAGGGGCTCCCCACTCCCAACCCCCCCCAGCCCTATCTGCGTCCTGTGGCTTTGCCCTGCGGTGCCCAAACCGGGGGCGTTTCGAGAGAAAAACGTCAAAGCGGTGGAATTTAGGAGGATGTGGCAACAGCCACCGGCCCGCTCTGCCGGGGGGGGGGTGTGGGTGCTGGGGTGTCCAGTGGGGCCCCTCGGGAGGTGTCCCCAAAGGAATCGGGGTCCCGTGGGTGCCGCTGGGGGCTGGCGGTGCGGATGAGCCCTGGGGAAAGGCTCAGTGCAGAACTCAGCGCTGGGATGAGCCACCCCCGACGGGCTTCCCAGCGAGCTCGGGGACAAAACGGGGATGGGGAACCCTGTCCTGTGCTGCCCCACCTCGGGGAGGAGGGGACAGCTGGGGACAGGGCCACTGCGCCACCAAACGTGTCCCCGTCCCCAGCATCTCTGCACCCCCGGCGTGCTGGGGAGGGCTTGGTCCAGGAGAAGCCGTCACGCCTGGAGGTCTGGGGGCACGGTCGGGGTGTGCGACAGCTCGGGGGACAGTAGGTGGCCCTCGGGGTGGCGATAAGCCCTTGTCCCTTGTACTGCAGCCCGCCCTGAGCCAGGTCCTGGAGCGGGTGTGGGGTGTGTGTGTCTGTACACGGGTGTGCCCTGGGAATTTGGGGGGTTTGGTGGGAATTTTGGGATGGATCCGCTCAGTGGGGCTGGGGGTGCCGGTGTGGGGTGCCAGCGTGCAGGGAGGGCACGGGCAGGGCACAGACGGGCTCCGTGGTCGGTGCCAGTGTGAAGAATCTCCCTCTCCCGGCTCGGAGCCTTCCCGGTGCCGGTGAATCACGGCCGGGGGTGTCTCGGGCCGGGCCGGGGGCGGTGCCGGTGCCGGCCCCTCCCGGGAGGCCGGTCCGTGCTTTGCTTTTAAGCCCCGCACGGCCCCGTGCTCGGGCTGCCGGGCAAGTGCGAGGGAGGGCGGCACCGGCAGCACCGGGTCCAGCACCGGCACCGGCACCGGGACCGGCACCGGGACCGGCCCCGCGATGCCGCCGCTGCCCGCCTGGCTCTGCCTGGCCGCGCTGCTCCTGCCGCTGTCCCCGGCAGCCCCGGGCGCTGCCGGTGCCTGTCCCCGGCCCTGCCGCTGCCCCGGGGCCGGGATCTTGCTCTGCCGGGAGCCCGACACCGTGAGCAGCCTGGCCTCGCTGCTGGGAAGCGGCAGCTTCACCGACGTGTGAGTGGGGCCGGGGCTCGGGGGATGGAGCTCAGACACCGGGCAGAGCCACGGGGAGCGGTGGGACAGCGCCGTGGGGCTGGGGGTGACACGGCTCAGGGTGGGGGTGCCAGAGCTCGGGGAGCAGGCGGAGGAGCTGGGGGTGACGAGGCTGAGGGATGCAGCGATGAGGCTGAAGCAGCGATGGAGTTGGCGGTGACAGAGCTCGGGAGTGGTGGTGATGGGGCTGGGAGTGCTGGAGGTGATGGGGCTGGGAGTGAGGGATTTTGGGGAGCGGGCAGAGGGGCAGGGAGCGATGGGGATGGTGGTGGTTGTGGCTGGGGGCAGCAGAGCCGGTGGACTGGGCGGTGATGGGGATGATGGAGGTGATTTGCTCGGGGGCTGGAGCGGGGATGGCTGCATGGGCTGGGATCGCTGTGGGGAGAGCTGGGATGGGGTGAGGGGGTGCAGCGTCCCCCCAGGGAGCAAGCGAGGGGCTGGGGGCAGCTCTTCAGCCCCTCCTGCAGCAATGAGGGTGCAGCAGGGAGCACCCATACTGTGCTGGGCAGGGCAGGGCTGTGGGGAGCTGCTTGTCCCCATCCTCCTGGGGCTGTCACTGTGCCCTGGGGCCTGTGGGTGGGCATTTGTGACCCCAAATTTGCTGCTTTGGGGCGTCTGCTCTGCTCCCACTCCTTCCCCTGCTGCAGGATGTGTGGTGGGGAGACCAGGGCTGGAGCGAGCAGAGACAGGAGGGTGCTGGGGGGACTGGGTGCTGCAGGACACCAAAGTGCCCCAATTGCTGGGTTCCCCCCGCCCCAGAGCCCTGCCTGTGCCGCATTGCTGGGGCCTGGCTGCGGTGTCTCCGTGCCTCAGTTTCCCCGCGTGCTGCGCCACGGGCGCTGCCAGCTCTTTGTTCGCTGGCTCGTGGGGTGGGGTGGCTGGTGGTGGGGATGGTGGTCCCTGAGAGACCCCCAGCCAGCCCAGCTGCTCTCGTCCCATCCTCACCGGGGTCACGGGGACCAAAACCCCCTTGGTGTGGATCTGAACCCCAATTAACCAACCCCCATGATTTGGGGTTCACAGGAGTGGGGTGGGGCAGGGAAAAACCCTGCACCTGCTCCCAAAGGGGCTTTTCTTCATCTCCCACTTGGAGGAAAGTGTGGGGGGACAGTGACAGCAGTGTCCCTGTCACAGTGCACAGCCTGGGGTGAGAGAAAAGGTGGGGACCCAAAGGGTGAGGGGGGCTGAGACCCAGCAAACTTATTCTGTGTGGGCTCCAGGTGGTGGCAGAGCCCTGACCCCGCACAGTTCACACTGACCAGGGGCTCAGCACCATGGGGATCACCTGCTGCCATCCGCCCTTCTTCCCAGCTCATCCCAGGGGAAACTGAGGCACGGTGGGGCGGCACAGCTCCATCTTTGTCCCCATCCCCAGCTGTGGGCACAGCCTGGGGGGTGGGAGAGCTCTCACCTCACTCTTTGGGGCAGGAGGGGTCGTGGGCTGTGCCCACCCTGACCCCCCTCCTTTGCCTTCCAGGGTCATTGAGAACCAGCCGGCGCTCACCGCCCTGACCCGAGCTGACACCCGGACACTGCGGGACCTCAGGAACCTGTGAGCACCCCGGGGTGGGCTCCCTGAATGGGGAAATGAGGGGGGTGGACAGGAGGATCCCCAGAGCTCAACCCCACTGTAAGGAGTTGCAGGGGATGCTCCAAGAATGGAGAACCTGTAAGCACCCCAGGGTGGGCTCCCTGCAAGGGGAAATGAGAGGGGTGGACAGGAGGGTCCCCAGAGCTCCATCCCACTGCCAGGAGTCACAGGGGACAATCCCAGAGCAGAGAACCTGTGAGCACCCCGGGGTGGGCTCCCTGAATGGAGAAACAAGGGGGGTGGACAGGAGCATCCCCAGAGCTCCATCCCACTGCCAGGGGTCACAGGGATTGCTCCCAGAGTAGAGAACCAGTGAGCACCCCGGGGTGGGCTCCGTGAATGGGGAAATGAGGGGAGGGAAGGGCTGTGGTGGAGGGGGAGATCCCCAGAGCTCAATCCCACTGCAAAGAGTTGCAGGAGATGCTCCCAGAATGAAGAACCTGTGAGCACCCCGGGGATGGGGTCCCTGCAAGGGGAAATGAGGGGGGTGAAGTGGAAGGTCCCCAGAGCTCAATCCCATTGCCAGGAGTCACAGGGGACAATCCCAGAGCAGAGAACCAGTGGGGTGGGGTCCCTGAATGGGGAAATGAGGGGAGAGAAGGGCTGTGGTGGAGGGGGGGTCCCCAGAGCTCAACCCCACTGTAAGGAGTTGCAGGGGATGCTCCAAGAATGGAGAACCTGTGAGCACTCCGGGAATGGGCTCCCTGCACAGGGAAATGAGGGGAGGGAAGGGCTGTGGTGGAGGGGGAGGTCCCCAGAGCGGAGATTCTCACAGGTGCTCAGCCCTTCCCTCCTTTCAGCACCATCTCCAGGTCGGGGCTGCAGCGCATCTCTGCCGATGCCTTCCTGGACAGCCCCAGGCTGAGCCACGTGTGAGTGTCCCCTTCCCCACTCCCCTCCCTCCACACCCTGCTCCCGTTCGTGCCCCGGGGGCTGTGCCCGCTGCAGGGTGGCCGCTCCCCGTGTCCCCGTGCCCGGGCAGGATCGATGGTGTCCCATCGCTGCCCCCCGGGCACATCAGCCCGGCCGGGGGGGCACGGGGGCTCTGCTGCTGAGTGGGAAAACATCGATCAGGGCAGGAATGCAGGCAGCTGCTGCCCCCCCGGCAGCTCTGTGCTGCACCAGGGAGGGTGGGGTCCCCCAAAAACGGGGGGGGAACCTGTTCTGGGGTGCATGGGGATCCCCCCTCAGGGCTGGTGGTGGCACGCCTGGCAGAGCTGGCTTTGCTTGGTCACGGTGTGACAGCCCCGGGGCTGCCCCGTGCCACCAGCCCCTGTGCTGGATGGGAAGGGGTGGCTGATGGGGGCTGTCCCAACAGGAATCTCTCCTCCAATGCACTGCAAAGCCTTTCCTGGAAAACCTTCTGGCATCTGCCCCTGCAAGAGCTGTGAGTGATGAGAGAGGGGGGGAGGTGGGTGTGGAGCATCTCCCACTGGGGATGTGCCCCTCAAGTGACACAGAGGCAGAGCTGGGGACGCAGTGAGATGGTGAGGTGCTCAGTGAGATGGTGGCTCTCACATCCACGGGTGTGGGGACAGAGACAGGGCTGGCACATGGGGCATGTGTGACACAAAGCCGGAGGCTGGGAGTGCCCAGGTGCAGCCTTGGCTGACTGCTGGGACACACACAC